ATTTTTTTTTTTTTTTTTTTTTTTTTTTTGCCTATTTATTTGCTCGAGCTTGATCAGGAAGTTCACTTAAGAATTAAGATTAATCAAATGTTTTCAGCATTCATATATTATAAGTGAACCAAATACGAGTTCTGACATATTCTATCCATTTGACAACTGAAGTATTTGTTTGTACATTTAACCCCTGATCTTTAATGTTATTATGCACACACATATAATGCTACATTTTATCTCCCTTAAATCCTACAGTTAACTTCAGAGATTTAGAGTTCCTCTCTGTCTCCCTCCCCTTTCAATGAATTGTTCTCTAGTCAAATTTTTCTCAGTGTGGATTGTAAATCGTCAATAGAAAGGTATAATGTTCAAATACAAATTTAAACCCTACTAAAGATCGTATTCTTAAATGAATCTTCAATCAAATGATAATCAAATATTCAATTTATACTGCTAAGTACTACATTGAAATTCTTCATAAAAAAATATTTGAAATAAAATTGAATTGTGACTCGAGAAAAATATCCAAATTCGAAATCAAATATATAGATGAATACAAATATGAACATCTCAATATTGTAGCCAATTTGATTCACTTCCAGTCCCAGTACCATAAAAAATATATGAAAACAAACATATGGCACAGAATTGCAATATAAAAAGGCCTGCTAATTTTGATGTAAAGTTCAGTAAAAAGTAAAAAAACGCTTAGGAATGCACATGACTTAAAAGACAAGATCCATGATGGTCTCTAAGGTCCAAACATTTTTCATCTTTTCACTTATCCTGAGAGACATAGATTCAAGCTACAACCACAAAAGTCACTTATAATTGAAGTTTCTATTAAACCGAACATAATTATCTTAGCTATTCAGGATAGAATAACTCCCTTCTGACAAGCTTGAATTGCATGACTAAATAGGCAAGTCTCAATAATCAAATAGCTTCTACATTTTACAAAACTCGCCTCTCCTACCCATAATTTCTAAACCTAAGTAGCTTCTACCTCTAAATTGAAACAGCATATCCTGCACGTTACTGTCCAAAACTTGTGACCCTCAACTAAATTCAGGTCTTCATCTCATGAGGGGAACAATTAGTATAACCTTTCTAAATCCATTCATCAAGCATTTCTCGATTTCAAACCGTGAATGTTGCTGGTCGGGCTGGAAAAAGAAATCCGAAGTTTTAATTTCATTACCTTCGAGCGCGATAAAAACCTAGGCCAGTCCTACCATTGGTGGAACCAAAAATAGTTAAAGATGGATTCTTTTTAGGGTTATCTACTTGAATTTGGTAATGTGGTAAGTTAGAAAATACTCTCGACTCAGCTCGCTGCAATTCTCAGCATCCAAGTCAAAAGAAAATGAGCATCAGAATCCTCGAGGAATTGATTAAACAAATAATAATCGAGTGAATTGCTCGTAAAAGAAATTGAAAAGAGTAGAAATTTGACCGCTGCCGAGGTGAAAGAGAGCGAGCCTGCGAGAAGTGAAATTGGAGGCGAGGCTGCAGCGAGCTCTCGAGGACGACGATGACGACGACGGGAATTTTTGGCC